TAGCAAAACACTAGTGCACATCAAAACAAAGTGTATTTGCTGATCATCTTTTATGTTGTCTTCACTTCAGCTTTATTATCACTCCTATGTCAAGAGTCTAGCTCAAAAGCTTGGCACATTTCTTGTTTCTCCATCACTGTTGTCTCTCTACCCATCATCTCCTCTCATTGTCATTCCAGTCATCTTTCATCCTCCTCCACAAGTGGAGACAAACTGCTTGCGGCACTTCAGCTCACCATGCTTTTGTTTTCCATGTCAGTCTGGCAGCGTGCACACTGGCCCCTTTGTACATAGAGAGACTGCCCATTTTACTTGACAATAACAGAAACTGCTGTGTTATTAGCAGGTGCGGCCTTTGGTTACAGGAAATCAAATAGGTGGTGTGGTGTCCTACTGAATTAAAGTGAAAATATTAAATGTATAGAAAGACTCAAAACTACCAGAGGACCTTCAACACACCAACAGCTTTGTTCCCCTTATGTCCAGCTGATAACCACTTTCTAAGCATGTCTGTGTGCACAGTGGCTCCAGGCCCAGTGTTAGGTCACTGTTTTTATATCTGAGCTCAATTAAAGATAAGAGCTAGGTGGAGTTACTACTGGACAGTAAATAGAGGTGTAGCAGCCAGTCACTTGTCAAACTGCCTGTGTGTGTGTGTGTGTGTGAGACCTAGGTGTGGTTGTGTGGCAGCAGTAAAAAAAAAAAAAAAAAATTTCTATCATTTTTCCTCCCTTTATACATTGCACCACTGTTGTCAGTAATTTGTATCTATGTTGACTTTTACTGGCGTCCCCAGGAGACAATGTTTTGGTCAGCTGGGCTGTTGGTGCCAATCCTTACCTAATGTTGGCTGTTGTGTTGTCATGTTGTTGACGCGTTTCACTGTAGATGGAAAATCTCTTCAAAAATGACCTGGGAATGCTAATGGGCATTGATGGAGATGGAGTAATTTACAGTAGGCATGGACTTCACCCAGTCTGGTTACACTGGAGGGGTGAGTCACAAAAACCTGGTAGACAAAATGTAAATGGACTTCTGGTTCTGCAGGCAGTGATGAGGACCAAAGTGTCTCAGAGATATTTTCAACCATAACTTTCTGCCCTGTCTTTCCTCTGCTTCAGCACCCTCTCAGCTTTCCAGCTAGAATAACAGAATATTAAAAAAAATGAACTGCCAACTTTCCTTTTGAAAAACAGGGGAAAAGGCCCCTAAACTGTCTATATTAATTCTGAGATCAGTTTTTTCCACATCATTCACCTTTGATCGGGACTTTGAATAAACCTGCTGTCGATCCTGCTGTTGCTGAATTAAATATGCTCTGTGGAACCCTGCAGAAAAACATGAAGGGATGACAAAAGGGGGAAAGACTTGGGACAGATGTGATGGAGGACCCGACTGTTCAGTGTGATCGGTGTAACAGCTGCTTCTTGCTTTTGTGAAGGGCGTGGCTGAACATTATGTAACCAATTTGACATCGGTAAACACAAAAGCACAGTTTCAGATGTGAGAACAGGCAGTTCACATTACTTCAGTGCTTCTATCTGTGTTAGATACTACAGACAGGACAGTTAACGGGAGCATTACATGAACGTCAGCGGTGTCTTAGCTGCAGAAGCATTTTTCCGATATCAGGATGAACTTTTTTCTAATGTTTTTATAATCCTGCTTTTCATGTTATCTGTCCCTTATTTCCTGACCAGATAAATGGCAGCAGAAAGTCCTGCTGTTGCTTTTGGAATTGCAATCAAAGGGACCATCTTTGTTTGCCTTGTTAACTAATCTGCAAGCGCTTTGGCTGCCTCAGCCACAGCTGAGCCAAAACAGATTATCACTTGTCTTTGCCTGTAGCACCCCAGTTATCCCTGCCATGCTGTATCACAGATACTGTACTCGTGAGATAACCTGGGAAAGCAGTTGGTCTCTTTGTGTTGTTATGCAAAGCACAGCTAGCTTTACCAAGGGTATGATTAAAAACCCCTTCATCGTGGGCTGGGCCTTTCCCAAGGGACCAGTGGGGCAGAGGGATACAGAGGATTCAAGAGTGTATCAAACAAGAGGGAGGGAAGGACTTGGCTTCTGGCCTGGACGGTGGCAGCCTGCCACGGTTTCATGTCTGTCTGCTGCGTCATGTGCTTTGAAACAGCGGGCAGTCAACCTGTATTAAGCGATTGTTCATGTGGGGTAGTTACAGAAACAGTTTGGATGACGAGGTAGCGAAGAGGTCACTCCAATGTTATCCTGGTCCATCTGGCTGTGATGTTATGAGCATAAGGAGGGAGAGGTTGACTCTCTGATTAAACTCTCACATCTGCTTCTCTGCAATAATCGCATTAGACAAGTAAAGAGGGAGCGTGCTGGAGTTTTTGTAGCGAGACAGCATCTGTAGTGTAAGATGTAGACACAGATGGCGTTGCCACTGTGACAAGGAGGATGAGACTTAAAAATGGCCTGGTATTTCTTACTGATACACAGGCTTTGACGTAATTCTACTGTTAAATCAGACTGAGTCTTTATGCAAAAACTAGAAACATGTATGATTTGTGGTATTAAGTGGGCGCCTCCCATCAGATGTTTAGCTCAATTAGACTCTTGGCTGGAGAGATACCTAAAAAACAAACCATAAACTGAGGCGCATTTGTAACTGTCTACTCTATATAATCAGTGCAGATTAATAAGCATTTTGAAATGTAGTTACAAAGGCACCTTGATAAGTAATTCAGCCTGTGTGACCCTGGGAAACAAAGCAGTGATTCCCAGGCAATCTGTCACCCACCTAACTGGGGCTGACGTTAATCTAACATGGCTGAGATCCAGAGTACAGAGAGCTCGGTACAGCTGCTTTACAGCATCTGACTTCTACCAGTTGGGTGTGATAAAAAAGGTTTTCATGTGCTGGCATAGTTGTACAAATTCATTTAAAGGCTCTGAAAAGCTGCAGTATTTTCCTATTATGAGAAATGGAGTCTTGCATGAACACAATCAGTGACGGCAGACAAACTAAGTCAAAGTAAGAACAGTTTTTGATTATTTGCATTGAGAGATTTCAGCTTTATCTGAGCACCTTTAACTTGTTTGACGTTGGTAAAATTGAGATTCAGAAATATTTGAATAAAAATTGGTGTTGTCTGTACATGTTGCTGGGTTATTTCTGTCCAGACTTTATTACAAGTATTAAACACATTTTCCAAAACTCAGCAAAAGAAAAACACATGGAAACATTACTGGAGATTTGACATTTATGTTTCATCACTCTGGAAATTTAAGTCACATGTACATCAGGACTGATTCCTTAATCCAATAGTCACACTTTTAGCTCCGGTTTTGGTCTCCACCAACTCCAGATTAATTAGCTGCTACTTGCTTCATTTTGTCAGTGAAAAGTTGCCCAGCAGTTTGCACAGACTGTCAGCATTTCATATTTATGCAACAAAGCCAAAGTTGCAAGCAAACCACTTTTGGTCATGGGAAGCAATGATACTGCCAGAGAAAGTAACAAAGAGATCCCCATAGATTTGTTCTTATTCCATTACAAAGACACTACACTCCCTCTCTTTCAATATGGCTGTTTTGGTAATTTTACGGAAGCATTCGGACATCTGTTAAACGGGATGCGCCCATGGAAGGTTCATGGGTCAGTAGTGGAAATATTGCTTTATGATGTGAGACAAAGTCTCTTTGGAGCGTTACTCAGAAAATCCACTGGAAAAACAATTATGAAAAGTAGCTGATATTCCCTGCCTGACACCTCCAATGCAGAATAGCTTTATTTGCTAGTCCCGTGTGTCTTATTTTGGCAGTCTCCCTCACAAGTCACAGCTAGTCCAAGGTGTGTGCAACTCTGTTGTCACTGATCTGACAACAATGAAGCGTTCACATGTAGGTGGCCCTGTGGCTTCATATTGACATGTGTTTGGTATCCAGGCAAACCTACAGAACAGTTTCCCAGGTGTGGTCCATTATAGCAGCACAAAGATGTGTCCACAGTGTAACGCAAAGTGACCAAATGTGGGAAGTATGGTAGCTCATGACGCACTCCTGCAGCCTGCATCAATGTGCATTTAGCAGCAGCAGCAGCTATGCAGCCATACCTGTATGTATTACAATTGAAATCTTTCTTAAAGTGACACAAGACTGAAACTGTGCAGCAGGGTGAAACCGTTGTTGTTGCTGTCAGTCATCATGTTTGGATATGTGTGTGTAGTGAGAAACTGTGAGCCAAGTGTTGCCTCACTGACGCCCTGCAATCATTTCAAACTCGGTTATTCTTCCTTCTGCTTTCTGACGGTATCACTTTCAATCCCAAACAAAGCAAGTTAATCCCATCCTTAACTATCTGACCCTGTCTGTAGTGCATGAGCTACTTACGAGGGGTAGTAACAAATTACACAGTTTTTGTGAAATAAAAAAACCAATAAAATACCTAATAACTAAAGTGGGGGGTATTTACTGTACATCCATCCATGTTTTTCTCTCCCTTCTGTTATAAAAAGTCAGGAGTTTACACCTGAGTAAACCATTAAGGTGTATATTGTATAACAGATTGCATAATGGCCCTTTCCTCCTTGTAAACTCTGCTGCACTACAGTTCTCACTGTTAAGAAGCATTTACTTACCTCAGTGACTCATTCTGGGAAAACTAGTTCTGCTTTTATAACAACTTTTACCCTTCATTGCTTCACACATTCATTTGTGCACTGTTGTTCAGCACAAATACAGTCATTTCCACTGTTTTTTTTGGGTGGGGGGGCTAAGTCTGCCAACCAAGCCTCATTATTTGAAGTATCTTAAGTAGGTCAGACTGCCAGTGAAGACAGGACCAGCAGTTATAGAATGATACAGTACATATTTTTCAGTGTAGCTCTGCTGATGCTGGCTATGAGTTGTAATTTCCATGCAGTCGGATCAAAACAAATAAATGTTCATTTATAACCATGCACTCACACTACGTTTGTTTACTGCCATTCATAATCTGTTGAACAATGATCATAGTTAGACAGATGAAGAGTTTCTGAAATATTTTATTCCAGGGATTAAAAAGACAAATGCAGCAGAGCTGAAGTGCAGAGTTTCAGTTCTACAAATGGCGAGCCCTGCTGTATCTAAAAAGGTAATAAACAAACCGTAACAGCCATACAATAATGCTAGAATGCACATTCTTTTCTCCCTCTCATCTGTTTCTATAAGCTTAACTACTGTTTCTGCTAATGGCAAAAATAATACTTCAAAATAGCACATCATCTCTTGGAAAATAACAGCAGGGCGATTTATTTGAAATAAAAATCTTGATCGTACAGAATTATACAGTTGACATCGCCTCATTTTGCCTCCTTGATAATCAGTCCCACGAAGGGCAGCAGTACAATGGCCAATGAAATTTAAAGGACTTGAATTAAAGCAATAAATACGTTTCAAATCACAGCCCACGCCCAAAACTTCACCCACATTCTGCCTCACTTAAAAAAAATACAATGTAGAACAACTGTGACAAGATGTTGGTGTTACTTATTAGCACAACATATTTTATAATCCGCATGCTGGCACTAAACTGGTTATTAAAATACGATCCAAAGTAAAGTCTCAGCGCAGCCTTTTGGATGATGTGGACAATCGTGTAACAGTTGCATCCCACATTTTTACAACAAGTTCGGACTTCTCCAAAAACACAATTCCAAGCAGCCAAACTGTAAATATGGCATCTATAAAATACAGATAAATTTTAATTGGCAATGTGCACAGAATCTGTGCTTGCAGCAGCCTCCAAGATCAAATACTGTACCTTTTGGCTGTGAGCACACCACCCACGATGCACCTTCCCACACCTGAGAATCACGTTTCGGCTGATTTTTTAATTTTTTTTAACACACACAATGTGAAAACATCCTCACACTTATTGAATGAATGTGTAAACATGGCGAAATGGTTCAAAACATTTTAAACAGCTGGAGTTAATCATGTAGGAATGCTGAATGTGGTTATGCAAAAGGTTCTCCTGGAGCAACTGTATGTGTATATAAAACACATAATCAGTGAATCATCTCATCTGGGGCTGCTGGGAAGTGGGTCAGATTAAAGGGAAGAAAGATCTGGGGCAGAAGGCTGATCGTCTCAGGCATGAACACACAGGCGAGGCAAAGAAAACAGGCTACAAATAATACTAAGGTAGATGGTCAGTGTTGTGTAGAGAAGTGTTGTGAGGTTGAGGAGACAAAGGGTTCAAGGCTGGGTCACTTCACTAGCCTCCTTGTCATAGATGTAGCTGCCCACACCACCAGTGTTGACACCTGGAAGAAGGAGAGCAGTGGGTGTCAGGGGTTGAGAGATAGGGGAGAAGGTAGAAGATGAGCAGGAGAGGCTATCTTCAGGTATCAGGAAGCTGCAGACAGTGTTATGACTGAGTTTTGTATCATGTGCAGTATGAATCAAGTGCTCAGACATGAAGCATTCTGTTTCAAGTGTGGCTGATATTTGGTGGGTTGACAGCACCCTCTAGCGGTTACCTTTGGGCCCGAACAGAACAGCATAGCATGGTTTGTGGCAGTAGGCCTGGCCGTCATGCTGGAAGAAAGAAATTGCAAATAGACACAGTAATAGTGTTATTTTTGTTGCACACTGCTTTGTCAAGATACAAAAGTAAAAGGCTTTATAATAATGACTATGTTGAAATCCTCCCTGACCCTGTAAATGCCACGGTATATCATCACCTCACCTTTTTATTAAAAGAATTAGGTGTTGATTTCACCATTTTCCCATTTTTATTCTGTCAGCCCCATAAAATATTTTATGTCTCTACACTGGTGATAGCCACAGCTGGAGACTTGCTGTTTTGGGGTTGTTCAAGTGTCCATCCCATTCTTGTGAATGCAGTGTCTCAGGAACGCCTTGAGGAAATTGCTTCAAATCTGGCACAAATGTCCACTTGAGGTGAATCCCAATTTTTTTTTTTTTTTTTCATTCCTCTGTCCTCAATCCTCGCTCGACCTGAAAGTCGTTCTGGTCCGCCATGATGGACGTTCTACAGCTCTTATTTCTGCTCTGAGGACCAAGGAGCGAGGAGGCTGCCTGGAGGAGATATAACTGAGGATACACAGGTGCATTCTTCACAGAGGTCTGTTACAGGTTGCCACAGCCCATTGTCAGAAATCAGGTTGTGGTTGGACGCTTACACAAAAGCTTGAGGACAGGACATCTGATGTCAGTTAAAACATGTTTCTTTGGTTCCTCTCTCCCCGCAGTTTGTCCTTGCATCTTATGTGGGCGGGACTAAGACGTGAGGGAAACGTGGATGCAGTCGGGTGACTTGGGATTCACCTATGGACTCAAGGATTTGAGGACTGGCCTTTTCAGTTATTTCTACCTGTGTTTCCTGGCACATTTTCTTCTTTTCAGTTTTTCCTTCCCTCTTTTTTCCCTTTCTCTTTTTTACCTCTTTCTCACCTCTGCGTGGCTGCCAGCAGACAGAGTCTTGCTGCACCTCTCACAGCGCAGGCAGGGTCGATGCCAGTCTTTGCCCAGTGATGTCACCTTCTCAGCTACACAAACACACACAAATACACCTGTGAAGCACTTTGGGAACCACTTTGCAGGTTCACGCATTTTACTCCAGCTTCTCTCCTCACTCTTGTTTCCTGGAAGCATGGACTACTTACCAAAATACACCTTCTTGTTGCATCGGGGACATAGGTTGGCCTCTCCGGAAAAGGTTGTGATGCTGCCAGCTGCTGACACATTACACACATATTATAATGCTGCAAAGGCAAAAGGGACTGTGAGGAAAATGGCCAATTAATGACCACTAATCTTTCCAGTTAGATGTAAAATCTAGTGCACCAATTACCTGGAGGTATGAGAATAAAATTAAACCAAGTACTAAGCAGCTTTTAAATGTTTCAAGAGGGAAATATTGACTAAAGAGTCTAATCTGGTTGCCAATTTAAAATGCATCCATCATTCCTCCCTACAGTCGCCTATCACTGCAGTTGATACATGCCCAGCGTACATATAGTGCTGTGCTGGGAACTGCAGGTGGTGCCAGAGAGCAAAGACACTTAAAACGCATCACACCTTTCAGCATATTCCCGAAACAAAAGCACACAGATTCAAAGATTTCCGTGCCCCTATTACTGACTGAAGGTTGCTGTGCAGATTTACTTGGAGTAGACAGTGTTATGCACATTACAGCACAAACTGTACTGAAATGCCAAAGATATTCTCATCTCTCACTTCACTTAAACATTTTCCATTTGAAAAGTAAAATGTTTGTAATACATTTCAAAGATCTCGCCTCATCCTGTTTGCTGATCGAAATTTTTCCTCCACACAATGAAAAAATTTTGGTTCAGAACGCAAACGAAAATCCTAAAACTACACAGCAGAGATAAATTGACAAGGGTGTGTGTCCTGGGAAATCCCTCTACTCATCTGAAGTCCCCCTCAAGTCCCAGACATTTTGTTTATCGATCTGCGTCTCAAAAACTGACTGCAGGGAGAAAAGCCCCTGCGGTCAACATTTGCTACTAGCACCATACTATACAGTACATACACTGTGAGTGCGTGCACACTTTTGTCATTGACCTTTTGATGGTGCTTTGGGTGCGTACACTCGTTTCTCTTCAGCTTTGGAGGCTGAATCCAACGCAGTGGGAGATGAATTGCTGTTGGCTGGAGTATCGTACAAATAAGAGCCTGCTCCACCAATGTTCACGCCTAAAAAGACAGAATGCAGAAAATTCATAATTATAAGATACTGAACTTTGTTCTAAAATATTTTGTTAGACTCTTCTGATGTGTGAGAAGTCAAACTCAAATTTTATGGAAGAAAACATTATTTATGCAATGAATACATGAATAAAATAATAAATACAGATACGTAAACATTTCAATTCATAAATAAAAGCTATAATGAATACAGAAATACTGTCAATAAATATATGAATAATCACAAGCCTAAATGAATGCCTAAATAAGTATTTAAATACACAATTAAGTAACCAAATATTTGTAGAAAAATTGCAAATATATTGCAGCTAGCTCACATCACCGTAAATTAATATATAAACACTTAAATACAGAAATAAATAAGTTAAGAAATGTAGATTTATCAAATTAAAACATTTAAAATAAAACACCATTATTTGATCCTCCAACATTTATTTTGTATCCCCCCTGTAATGTGTGTATTTTTATCAGTAGTAGCTGATTAGGATACGAACACTGCAATCTCCATGTTTATTGGACAAATAAATTGAACCTTTATTTATTGGTAAATAAGTGAAACCCCCCACGCCCCCCACCCCCAACACTAAAAGCTCATTTCTGTCCCACTGAGATGAACATCTTTTCCCACCCCATCCTAGAGGGCAGCATCAAAACACTGTCACAGGACTAAAAACAAAAACAAACATGAGTAAGATGACATGTACTTCACCTTTTGGCCCAAAGAGGGCAGCATAGCACGGCTTGTGGCAGTAGGGCCTTCCATTGTGCTGTTGGAGAGACATACAGTACAGTTAAAACTCTTTTCTCGTGGGAAAAAGAGATGGAGAAGGTGTCCAAAAATGGAGATGTCATTGTATTTTATTTATTTTACATCTCACAACTGCCTAATGATGATGCTATTGTCACAGATTCCTACAGCACAATAATGAGACTGACAGTATCCAAGAAACAGGTCTGTGTTGATTAAATTCTGCACCATACTTCAGTGCTACCTATGTGTCTGCACATCTCTGATGGTCTGCCACTCGAAGGACGGAAAACCCAGTCTAAGACATAGATGGTTTGTTGCCGATGCATACTGGGAATGTGGCAGTTGATGCAAAAGCATGTGATCCGCCTGGGTAGGGGATAAAGGCTGGGGGCCAGGGTGGCCACTGGTCCAGAGCAACAACCAAGCAAATGCAAAGGGCAAGATTCCAGGCCCTGGGTAGTTGGGAAACCTGTGTGTTAGACAAGGGACATACTTCCCACAATCCCTTATGCTTTGGCCACATGAGCCTCTTTTCCTCAGAAGCGGGTGCAACAGAAAATAGGACAGTCCTCTCACCGTTAATAATGCATTAACCACAGGATCAGCTACTGTTAAAGCAGCCGCGCACTCCTTTCACACTTCCTGATCGACATTTATGAGATCGGTGAAGGTTTGGCTGCAGATGCCAGGCAGTGACTAAGCGCTGATGACTTTCTCAGGACAGGACACACAGGGCTTCATTGTCAAGAGAACTGAGTGGTCTATTACAGTCTGGCATACAGTGTATTACTGTGGCTCTGAATGTGAAACATGAAGAGGCAGGGGGAACCTAGTAATGGTTATCCACCACTGCTGCACAGCCCACTCTCTTCCCACAGTCTGATACTGAAATTCTCCATATATTCTTAGTCCTTTTCTTTCTCTACCTGCCCCCCTTCCTCATCCTGGTCTTGATCTCCATGTCCCACCACTTGAACCATTAAGCTACGTTACCTGCTGGAGTGACTTAAATTAGATTTTTTTTCTTTTCTCCAAGTGAATCAGATCCAATCTCTTCATGGATGTGTGAACAAACCAAATAGGATTTTTTTTCAAATCCAATATGGGTCCCCTCAGCTGCATTGCAGGCCGTAATGCTCAATTTCGATCTTTTTTGTCAGATCTGACCTTTTTGTGTTGATGGCTCACGTTCACTTTTTGTGATGATGGCTCACGTTCATGTTTGTGACACAAACATGGAGCAAAGAGCAGTTAGGAGCAACTTATGGTGTCTAGACCCTCTAGGCTGAAAGGAAGTTAGTTTAGCGTAGCTTTAACTCATTATGGGGAGCCAGTTGTTTTGACCCTTGCTGTTTTTGTTCTGCTTTCACTTCCTTTAGCTGTTCGTTACCTCCCCAACCAAACCACTATTCTTTTTAATTCTTTCATTTCTTTATATGTAATGTCTCTCCACCTCACACTGTTTCCATGACGATGATCGAGCATCAGGTTTGTCCTACTAAAACCAGGCTCATGGCACAGTGCTGCAGCCTGAGGCGGGATTTGGATTTGGAGAGCGGATGGTGGGTTGAGAGAGAGAGCACGAGGCTCAGAGAGACTGTGTGACTATGTTGCTGTAATCACACAGAGATTAAACAGCATGAGCAGCATCCTTTGGAGTCTGCAGGGGAACTGCTGTTGTGTACCAAAAAACTGAGATCACATCCTTTTTGCACAGTGGAAAGAGGCAGGAAGACTCCAAGTGTGCACGTGATAGTCACACATGTACAGAAAGAGAGGGGATGAAAACTGAATCGTTGGCTGAGTCATGGAAGGCAAAAGAACAGGGGCATGATATCAGAATCCCAAGGGTGAAGGTGCCAGATAGTGAGCTGCATTTGTTCAAGGGCCACAGTCGGGAGGATCTATGTTGAGACATGATACTGCAGTCTGATTATGTAACGGAGGAAAACGGATCTGAAAGCAACTCCTCCTGTAACACTAATGGGGCTAAAATTCCAAAAAGGACAAATAATACTGACAGACACAACCAGGTAGGAAAAAGGACAGGCACTCAGCAACTTCCTGTTTGTGAAACTGTAAAGAACCATCAGATTACATCAGTTTGTTGCCCTTTCACCCCGTATGATCTACACTACTAAAGTTCAGTTTTATGAAGAAAAAAGTTACATAACTACCTAAAATAAAACACAAATTACAGGGAAGTCCACATAGTAAATTCAGAAGAGCATGAAAAAGCCATTTTTTTGGACATTTTAGCATGAACTCTATTGTACAGTACCCCATGAAGTACATGTTCTGGATCTTTGATCGGTGGTGCTGCAGCAATTAGTCAAAAACAATTTGACTCGGTGGTTTCCACCCTTCTTGGCATTTGTCATCTTTAAACAAAGCTTTATCTCTGTGACCTCTCATCACAAATTAGGACATTGTGCCATTGTGGTGGTGTAATGTGTAAAATGTGTAGTTTACCCTGAAGAAGATATATTTTGTTGCACAAAAGTGCGTTATTTTTTAACATTACTGTACTGTTACTAGTGGGGGTGGTACTGACCTCAGCGTGGCCTCCTGCATTGAGAAGCTTGTTGCATCGGTCACACTTGAGACACAGCTTGTGCCAGTCCTTCCCCAGTGATGACACCTTTTCAGCTGCACATGAAAGACAAAAGACAGAGACGGAGGAATGGGGGTGAGCACAAACACTGACATAAAGCAGTGTTTATATACATTACTCTGAACAACAGCCTTTATTTTCTCCATCACTTGTGTCAGGCTTTGTGTGTATTATAATGTGCCGTTCAGTCATGAGGAATGGCGTCTCTCGTTGCTTCACGCTCAACAATAATGATTAACGCTGATAACACTGTGCCACAATGGAAATCCTGTCACCGTGCCAATTGCCATTGCTTTACGGGGGGTGGGGATACTGGGAATGCCTGTGTACTACACAGGATGCTGTGATGATGTCAGTGCAGTACAGACAGGCGCTGGCACAAGTCCAAGCCCAGCTGGAGCAGCAGGAGGTGCCCACATCTAGCCCAGATCCTTTGTGTTACCCCTCCAAACATAAACACGCCCATCCCCCAGTTTAGAGTATACTCCTCCCGCTGTGGACAACCCCTCAACCCCATTTCCGTCTCCTTTTTCTCCAGTCTCCCAGAGCTACCACCCTGACACACAAGCAAGGGAGCCTAATTATACCCTGCTTCCACACAATGGGACTAAAGGAGTCGTGCAGGCAACAGAGGAAACACCTTCTCTTATCAGAGCAAGGCACAAATAGCCGGATACTGGGGTTGGGTTCCGACATACCCTCAGTCAAAAATGCACACAAACACATGCACACACATACAGCATATTTGCAGACATACAAGTGATTGCTTCCTCCATTTCTTCCTCTTTAGCTGCTTTCCCGCCTGTACCGTAACCTATTAAAGTCAAATTCCTGTGTCAGTATCATGTCAGGATGGAAATTAAACCAGATATTAGAGATTTTAGAGTCAGTTTCTGAACAGCATGAGGTAACGCAAATTCAGCTTCCTGCATTAAAAATATTTCATTACAAAAATGACCAACTTTCAAGGAGGTTTTTTAAAGTTATAGGTTAAGACAAGGACACACCAGACATAGCAGACTTTTCAAAACCAATTCATGCTTTTAGCATCACATGGTGTTTAAGAATGTTTTAGGAGATGTGACTACTCCCCCACAGAGGTTTGTTTACTCTCCAGAGAGTTTCACTGTCAGGCCTCTTTGTCAATTACAACACAGAGACAAACGGTCAACACCAAGTCCCTGGAGAACAGCAGAGGATGGAGTGTGGGGTCAAGGGTGAAGGGGGAGTTGACGTCACATGGTCCCATCGACACATGAGAAAGTAAGAATGCTGACTTGGCCACAAGGCACTGCCGGAAATGTTAAATCACTCTTAAAGATACTGTTATTCAGAGTAAAAGGTTTGTAATAAATCATTCTGTAAATCACTGATCTCTGCTGCTAAATCACAGGACGGCCTTAAGACCACCACACAGTGGTGTTGAAGAAGTTGTATGAATGGGATCAGAAGACTGTGTATGTCTGTCACACACTTTTGTCTAAAACCTGCTGTTTTGTGCAACTGCTGTCACTGCTTGTACGCCAAGTGATACTTTAAGTGATACGCTGTACACATTTCAACAGTCTCTGGTGGTTCAACTTCAGTTCAGCTACTTTCATCTCTGAGTTCAGCTGCAAACATTTTAAAACCATTTTTCTAGTTTCTTTTAAATTAGAAAATCGTCACAAACCTTTTAACACTTCAGACTGTGTTTAAAGAGAATATAAATGAAACCAGCATCAACTAAACCTGTCTGCTCTGTTTATTTCTACTTAAATCTAAAGATACCCACATACCTCCTGACACCTCCAGTGTTAAAAATAGGCTGCATTTATGGACTACAGATGCCCTGCTATAGTTTTCAATGTTGCACAGTTAGGGTATGTATCTGCTCTTGACTGACTCATACATAGACACGTCTCCACACAGATTTGAAACACCAGCGTATGAATGAAAACAGACGTCAGAGCCTTGTATGGCTGTGTCTGTGTGTGTAGTAATAAAGTCTACTGTTTAACAGCTCCCTGTTTTAGAGGGCAGTTGTTATTGTAACAGGGGTGAACCCGTCTGTCGGTATTATGTGTTGTGGGAGTCAGAGAGTGGGGGAGGTGGAGGGGATCCGCATCTGGCCTAGATGTTTATACCTCCAGCTCTCATCCAGCCTCCATCCTTATCATCCTTCAAACACACTCGCCTTTGCTTTGAGTTGAGATTTGACAAGGATGCAAAAGCAAAGTAAATCTAAGACAAAATAAATAAATAATGTGCTGACTGCACCAATAAGCAGTCAGTCCACAGCATCTTGAAATTGTAAACATGTGGGCACAATTCAGTTTTGTGCCATGGTTAGACCAGTTTTGGTCATTTCTGTATTTGTGGTTTTGTCCCTGCTCTTTTCACTGCTTTGAAATGTGCACGGCTCAGTGGACAAACGGCAATGTCAGTGTGCATCAGTCATTTGTAAAACAGTCTGTCAAAACTGATCAAGCCACACCTGCACAGTCTGTAACCATTTAATGTTATAGAGAAGCACTTTAACCTGTGGTGGCTACTGTTTATGAGGTGTTTCCTTTATTTTAAAATGCTCAACCTTTAATTTTGCTTGCTACAGTATTTAGAAAAAACAATTTTAGGTATTTTACAGCGATGCCATTGTTAAATGACACCACATTGTAAGTTCACTGCAGGAACACTGAGCCCCAGGCCGGAGGAAGAGAAACAGTGCAAGTGAGTGCTAGTCAGAGGTCACAATGACCATACGATACCGGCACCACTGTAAGCTGCTTAACTTCATTTGTAAATTCCTGGTATAAGACCTTCAGTCTGCGGTCGGCCTCTCTGTCTGCACCGTCAATATGGGTTAAATCATGCTGACTGACTCCTCTTCTCACTGATTTAGCCTTATTGTTTAATCAAAGTAAATAAGACAAAACCCAGCATATCTTAGTGTTTTTGTGACTGTGAAGACTCTCATGCACCTCATGCATGTGTCAGCCAGTTCTTTCCACGTTTCTATTTGTCACATGAAGAGAAACAAGTGCAATTTCATGTGGAAACTACACGTGGACTGATGTGCTTAAACACATCCTCCACCCACCACAGCTGGTCACAGTTGTTTTGGAACCAGGAAATTACCACACAGGCTCAAGGGCAAAAAAAAATCTGAATTGACGCCCAATGAAAATAGCCTTATGTTGGCACCAGTGCTAGCTTTAGGTATGCATCATCTAAACACAGTGCTGTAAACCGTTCAAAATACAAAGTATGGGACTTAGGGGACCTTTATATCAGTAAATGGGGGAGACACACGCCAAGAGTATTTACACTTTATACACTAGGTTCAGATGTAATGCATTTGTGGTTACAAAGATAAAGTCAGAGTATCGCCGCTTCTCTTTTCTCTCTCCTCCATCCACTCAACCTAACCCGTCGATGCAGAAGGCCGCCCACCAAGCGTGGGGTCTTACAGAGATCTGTTCTGTTAAAGGGAGTTCTTACTCCCCGCTGTCGCCAAGTGCTTGCTCAAGGGGGATTTGTTGGGTTTTCCTTTAATAGTGTAGGGTCCACACCTGATTAGGTAAAGTGCCCTGAGACACTGCTGTTGTGAATTGGCACTGTGCAAATAATTTAATAGAAGGTTTTGGGGGTCCACCTGTGCTTGGGAGTGGCACGGACTTTTGTCCCCAAACGATAATCCATAAGCAAATATTCATTCAACATTGATCCTGAGGGCAGGGTCCCTGCTAGTGAATGTTAATACATGAGAGGCACAGGCTGGGGCTAGAGGAACTTCAAGCACGATAATGACTCAATTTATTTTAGTGGTTCTGTTACATGATACACTTACACTTCAGATCATATTAACAGAGAAACCAAACTGAGTCCCACAGGTATTAACCGAGCTGGTTTGCAGCAAATGGTAGACAAACACACTATAATTGGACAGAATGTTAAGCAGCAGAACTTTAACAAGGGGTCTCTGGAGAGAAAACATTAATGGCCTTTTTCTCCAAATGACTCTGTTATGGTTGCAGCTGCACCCAAACACCCGAGCTGATGATCGACTCATTTCACTCTGGGTCAGGAAAAGATCTGGCTTCCTTGTTACTCAAAGGCACGACAGATAAACAAGAACGAGTACAAGTACTGAACAACATTTACACAGCTGAACTCCCAGCATGCAACATGGTAGGATTGTCTGCCAGGGGGTTGGACTCTGAAATCTCATATGGGTGCTATCTGTTCACTCAATAATTCGATCAGGGTGCAACGGGGGGAAATCTAATGCTATAAATGAGCCGCTGCTTGGCGTGCTGCAGGAGCTCCTTTCTCTAAGTTATAATCAGCTACACTTTTAACAAAGGTGTACATAAATGTAAAGCTGTACAGTTTATAACCTCACTCAGTTTGTCACACATTAGACTGATGTTAACTCGGTGTGTTTTAAACATTAAATCACCCATTTTTGGCACTAAATCATTCTAAGACTCTTCATAATGATCATGATGTAACCAGTGTGATTGTAAATATGTCTAAATCATGGTTGGCTGGATTTTGTTCTGTTGCACCCTCTGGTAATGTGTTGTGAACCCATCTGTTCAGCTTTTCCCTTTTTTTTTTCATGTCCAAAACACACACACAAACCAAAACACACACACTCATACACACTGCCCTCTGTCCATCCTTTATTTTTATTTTTTTGTTCAGTGGCAGATGAATACATGCGGGTGTTTTTGGCTTTGTCACAGTGGTGTGATAACTGCACGTCCTAATAAACAACACACACCTGACTGGCTGGAGGCCCCAAAGGCAAGATAGGTCAAAAAGTCTGCTCATATCTTGTGAAAAACATGGGAAATGGAAAAAATAAGCAGCCTGCTTTTCCTTCTGTGCATCTTATTCTGCTCTCTGGAGTCTGGAGTACAGATGCCCTCAAAGACTTGTGACCTTTAACTTAGTTTAAAGACAATGGCCATTCTGTTAGACACAGGGGCGTTCAACCTCAAAGGGGAAGTGACTTTTTAAGGAGTTTTCAGCTGAGGAATGAGCTGTG